TTCTTTACATGAATTTTAGTCCACATGCATGGTTGGAGAAATATATACTCCATTATTACACCTGGATGTCTTGAGGTTCTTGTGCTTACCCTGATGCTTTCACATTTTAAAGCACTAGTTTTAAATTTAAAAAAAGAAAGCTTTGATTAAACCTGAACTAGTTGGAAAAGGAAAAATGTTAATTGAATATAGGAAAAATCTAGATGCAGTTTAGACCAAATTGGATTTACCAGGCTGAGCTGGAAAACAGGATTGCTGAGCTTGGTCTTTGAAGAATACTGCTAGTTAGTTGGTAAAAGTCCATGGGTTCCATCATCACTTAAAAAGATTTTTTTTTTCACTTTTCAAGTATAGATATAAATAATTAATTAGTTACAAAATCTCCTAGGGGCAGCTCTCCTTTCAATTTCATCACTAGGATTTCGGAGATTTAATTGCTCAGGTTGTAAACCAGGTCAAAACACATGTTAGCTTCAAGAAAAATATGCAGTTATGCATTCAATTCTTTACTAGTCTTATGATAACAACCAAAATGGATGAACTAAATAATTGACTTATTTGTTGTGTTTTAGTGAATAGAATAATTAAATAATAAAGCACTCAAGGGTATAGTTGTTTACCCAACTCATTAAATTTAGCTGTTATCAAATGGCCCCTGTTGTCACACATGGCTGATGATGTGGAAGTATAGGACCTTAATTTTCTTTTCTTTTCTCTGCCCATGTAGCACATTCCAACCTAATTGGTGACTAGAATAGAAAAGTGCATGATGGAACTGATGTGGACTGTGTATGACTCTAGTGGGACCCTGATTTGTAGACACTCTAAATTTTGCATGCCAGCCTTCCTCATTGTAATGGCTATGAGTTTTAGGGGAAATAGTGATATAACATAAGACTTTTGACTACATTATTCTTCCTCAGAATTACAGGGGTCTCTAGGGTGGATGAGGACTCATCAAAGTGTATTTGAGGCCCATTGGCTGGCCCATACCATACATTACTCAATAGAGAATGACCAGATGGAGTTATGTTCGTTGGTGCTAGAAGCTGAGTTTCAAGCATTTTAGTTGGTCCTGGAAGCATGGTGTGTGAACACCAAATACCGTCACTGGCATTTCAATAGGCCATTTCAGTTTGTACTTTATTATATATATAAACAATTAAATATTAAATTTTAAATATTCATTAGGCATCCAAAGAAGTGGCAGTCTTGGAATTGTGATTGTGGGTGGAGTTTTACTTGGATGGGGTGTTATCCAAACACTCGCAAAAGTGAAACATATAATTTACCTTGATACCCCCCAAACGTGATCAGTGTAAATGGGGCCAACAACTGATTCCCATTTTACACTCTCATCGAACCGGTTCCCATTTTATATTCAGTGTAAATTTGCTTTTACACTCCAAACAAACATAGCCTAACTTGTTTAATAGAAGCTAGTTGTGATTGCTACATATATTGGGGTCATCAGATTAATGCTTCATCACTCACAATTGGTAGCACCTTACACTTCGATACTGAGTAATTATGATGGGATTTGGGATTTGGGAAGCAAGTTTTTCTAGTTCTGGTTGTTCCTCTTCCTTATGCAACCCGGAGGGAAGATTTAAACCCATTTGCAAGTCTGCAAAGAGGAATGACAATAAAAATGAGTGTTGCAGTTTAATGTCCTAGAAAGTTAAACTATTTTATTTTTATTTTGTCTTCTTCTATAGCATGTAAATTGGGTCTTTCTCACTTTTTGTTAACCTGGGTTAGTTGTAAGAAGTGTATAGAAGAAGTTTCTATTTGGCTTTCTCAAGAAACCATCTTCTTGTATTACTCTAAGCAAGAAAACCAGCATACGCAAGAAGAAGAAGAAGAAGATGGTTTCTTACTTCAATCTGATGCATGTAAATCCTTTGTTCTATAACATTTCCTCCACTTTGCATGCATCCACAGTTGGCTGAAATAATAGCCAACACCTAACAAGTGGTACTAAAGCTGCAAGGTTCGTTGGAACAAGTTTGGGTGCAACAAAAGTAGAAGAAAAATTGATTGTAGAGAACAAATCATGGCCAACACTAATGTTATTATTTCCAACAATCCAAGTTACTATTTTTGATGGAAAACACTATGATTTCTAGTATGTTAAAATGAAAACATTGTTCTTGTCTTTGGATTTATGGGATATTATTGTTCTTGGATATGATGAAGCAGAAAATGTAGAAAATCTCACAACAGCTCAACAAAAAGAACTAATGGACAAGAGAAATAAGAATGCAAGAGCACTTTCAATGATTCAAAGAGGAGTTAGTAAATCTATTTTTCCAAGGACAATGAGCATTGAAAAGGCAAAGGAAGCCTCAAGGAGATAGAAAGGTAAGCGCTGTTAAACTCTAATCTCTTAGAAGAAATTTTGAAAATATGAAAGTGAAGGAAAATGTAAATTTAAATGATCATTTCAACAGATTTATGGAGTTAATAAATCAGATGAAAGCATATGGTGAAAAAATTGATGAAATGAGGATTGTTGAGAAGATTTTAATTAGATTACTTAAGAAATTTGATCCTATTGTGATTGTCATTGAAGAAACAAAGAATCTCACTAAATTAAGTGTTCAAGAGTTGTTGGCATCACTAAAATTATATGAGCAAAGATTAGCACGTCACTTCGAAAAATCAATAGAGAGTGCCTTCTAATCCAAGCTCAATGTCAATTCCAAAAGTCATAATGGGACATCCCCAACTCATGAACATGGAAACAGAAACTCCTATAGAGGAGGTAAATATGCAAGAGAAAGAGGAAGAGGTAGATGTAATTTTGATAGAAAAGCTAGTGATGAAGGGTCATCACAACAGTGTTCTATTTGCAAAAGAAGCAACCATATTGACAAATATTATTGGTTTAAAGGAAAGACACAATGTCATTTTTGCAAAGAGTTTGGCAATCTACAAAAAGATTGTAGATTGAAAAACAATCAACAAGCAAATTTTAGAAAAGAAGAGGAAGACTAAAGAAATTTGTTTCATGCATGTCAAAGTACCACAGAGGAAAACAATGATGTATAGTTCTCTGACAGTGGGTGTAACAATCATATAACAGGGCACCCAAATATTTTTCTTGACTTGGACACATCATTTAACTTAAAAGTGAAGTTGGGAAATGGAGAAATTGTTGAAATAAAGGGAAAGGGCACAATTGGTGTTGAAACAAAAAAAGTAAGAAAGTTTATACATGATGTGTTATTTGTACCTAAATTGAATGAGAATCTTCTCAGTATTTGACAACTTTTGGAGTTATTCACTCCATTTTGAAGATCTTAGTTATACCATTTATGACCATGAGAAACATGTTGTGAAAAATGTGAAAATGAAGACAAGTAGAAACTTTTCACAAGTGTTTATTTATGCAAAAATTGTTATGCTGCTATAAATGCCAAGGAGGTTGATGAGTCATGGCTATGGCATAGAAGATTTGGTCACATAAATTTCAAGGGGCTGAAATTGCTATCATAAAAGGAGATGGTTCAAAGGATTCGAAACATTGAAGAGAAGCATGTAGTTTGTGAAGGTTGTGTACTTGCAAAGTAGATGGTTTGTAACTATTTTTCTAACGGTAAGTGGACGGTTGTGCACTTGGAAAGTAGATGGTTTTGTTTACCAAGCAATCTTTTTAACTATTATCTCTCTCTCTCCCTCTCCAGCAATTGGAGTGGCACTCTGGCGTCTCCATTCATAATTCATGATGGGCTTTGGGCTTAGGCTCAAGCTAGAGGTTTTTATGAGGCCGAGCTCGGGCCTAAGATCTAGGTCCGGTGGTCAAACCAGGCTCAGGCTGGGGCCTCAATATATTATGTTGATAACAAGTGAAAGCCCAGTCCGGCCCAGCCCATGAACGAGTCTACCTCAAACAAACGAGGTGCAAGCTCTCATCTATAGTAGCGGCATAAAAGGGCAAACAAGGAGTTTTAAAAGTTCAAACTAGCGAGAAGCACCACGGGCATGTATCTTGGAAAGAATGCTTATGTAATTTCACTTGATGTAATTACAATAAGTCAATTAATTATATTTAATAATTAATAAGTAAATACGCAAATAAATCATATAAACATTGTCATATATTTATAAATATAAAATTATATATAAAAAAGATAAGGCTTGCAACATTCGATGAAGCATTAAATTATATGTATCTTTTAACAAAATGAGAGGGGGAGTGTATTGAACCCCATACTCCATAAATTCTAGATAAATTATAAAAAGAAAATAAACTCCAGATCTGCCACAAAACAGTTTTTTTGTTAGTTATTATTAGCAGAGACCCGAGCAATATATGAGATTCATTAAAATTTCAAGCAATAGAGCTAGTGTTGCAAGGGGTTTGAGATTTTTAAATTTAAAATGAGATTGAGCTAAAAAAAGAAAAAAAAAAAAAACTCAGGCCTAAATTAAACTCAGATTGGAGTTAGGTTGACGCCTCATATATATATATATATATATATATGGAAATTGCACTAATGCACATGAAGCTTTAGAACAGCTCAGGCTGTTCCAAACAGCCAAAGTTTTCTAATATATTGGGAGGTTAAATCATCCAATGTAGCTTGAGAAGATTTCTTGCGACCAATGAAATGTGAACATAACACCCTTGTTTAAAACCAAACACCAAAATGCGATTTAGTCTATTTTTTTCGGGCATGGGTGCTGTAAGTGTATCAATTTAATTAGTGGAGGTCTTTCAAAAACATCAGGGAAAAACATGTCACTCTGAATGAAATTATTAGTCTTGTTAAAAAATCCAAGTAAACTGGCAAACAACTCCTAGGTTCTGACTAGTGTCTCTATTCGGTCACCAATTAGCCGTTTAGGTTTCTAACTAACACACTACAGGATTCCGAAGCACCAACTCCAACTTATCGACTCCACCCACAAAACCTTAGTTCTTTTCATTCTTTTTCGCCACTAATCGCTATATATAGGCATAACATACAGAAGCACCTTCGCTCATTCTCATTCATCGCATACTCACCTTCAATTCTTATTAATGGAATCCCACAAACCCATTTGCAGTACACTCAAAGCCACTGCCTACTTACTTCTGGTAGTCCTCACCGTGACATGCGCTACATCAGCTCGAATCCTCGACGAGCAATCCCCTGCACCGGCAACCATTCCTGTTGAAACACCTACGGCAGACGTACCACCAGATGCAGCGGCGGCTAAAACTACAACGAGTGCCGCCACCGTCAATACGGACCCCCACCACCCATTATCCTTCTTCATGCACGACAGACTTGGTGGGTCAAACCCCTCAGCCCTGGCCGTGACTGGAATTGTGAACAACCCGGCGGTGAACGGTCAAGTCCCTTTTGCAAGGCCCAACGGTGCCGTTCTCCCTGTCAACAACGGCGTTCCCCTCAACAACGACAACAGAGGGATTATCAACAACAACAACATTCCATTCCTCACTGGCCTTGGCGGCAGCACATCCACTGTCATTCAGAACAATGGCAACAATGGTGGTTTCGGGGTCCCTCTGGTGAATGGAGCCCAGCTTCCCGCAGGGACCACCATCCAGAAACTTATGTTCGGGACGATGACAGTGATCGACGACGAGCTGACCGAAGGACATGAACTTGGGTCTGGAATGGTTGGAAAGGCACAAGGGTTCTATGTGACCAGCTCGGAGGACGGCAGTAGCCAGACCATGGCATTCACCGCAATGTTCGAAAGCGGCAACTATGCTGACAGCCTGAGTTTCTTCGGGGTTCACCGAACGGCCGTATCGGAGTCTCAGCTGGCCATTATGGGTGGCACTGGAAAGTACGTAAATGCCAAAGGATACGCAACGCTGAAAACCGCCATTCCCAATGCCAACCAGCAAACAACCGATGGAGAAGAAACTTTGCTGGAGGTTACCGTCTATCTCACATATTAAGGGGTGTCAACTTCAAGTGTTAAACGACTAGCTAATTAATTATCAAATATGTTGAGATATTCTCTCTATATATGAAGTGACCAAGAGTAGATTATTACATCCTGGTTTGTTGGAAAAAATACGTAATATGTGGATTGTTCTGTTTTTATGAATGAATCTAGTTAAGTTTCCTCTTTCAATTGCTTCCTTTTAAGTTCTTGTACATAATTGATTTTATTTTTACTTACTGATTAATGATCTACTACTCAAACAAGCTAAAGATGTGGGCATACTGCTAACAAAAGTTCAGTTGTTTACTCCATCTAATGGGCTTTTAATAATTTTTTGGGTTTTATTTACAATACCTTCACATATCATTCACTACCCTCTTAATTTTGTTTCATTTCCTTACTTGTTACTTACTGTTCCAACTCTACAAATTATAATAAAGTTTATGAGGTGGAATGAACAATAAGAACCCTTAAATTTTGATGCTTTGTTTATCTTAGCTAGTACTAATGATAACAAAATTTTTAGCTATTCAAGTAGGGAAGATTCCTTGTAGTGGCATAAACTCTCCAATGTCTGGGAAAATGTTCAATATTCCTATTAACACTATTATTTACGTAGGGTGGCACCCTTTTTTTCTATGTGAAACAACTAGATAAGCCTAGAGGCAACTCTTATCTGAAACGCACTTTGTGGGCTTAGAGCCTTAGACTCCATATAAATTCTGCCAATAGCTGTTCCCATTTGAGGATTTTAATGCTTGTTTGCTTCTTTGCTATTGTCTTGAAGAATTGATGATAAGTATAAATGGATTTATAAAGATGTAGCTATAATGGAACCATATTTCTGCTAATACTTTGGATTTGTTGTTGCCTTATTGGTGCTGCAATTTGGGTATCGTTGGGCCACGTTGAGAACCATCCAAGTATTTTATATTTGGGCCAGGGCAAACCCAGACATTTTTATCGACATATCCTTTAGAAATGCTCTACTTAACATTAAGGAAGAAGGTTGCCTTCTCTCTCTCTCTCTAAATTTCAAAATTTTCAGATTCTCAGAGGTGGTTGAGCTCTTAAACGGTTGATAGCTCGAAATTCATGGCAAGATAGAGACAAGATTGTTGCCCCCAAAAACAGTTTACGAAGCATACCTTGTATTCAAATTGGCAAATAGCAGAAAAGGCCTCAACTTTCTCTAGACAAAATTGTCCGTAAGGTTTGCCAGAACTAAGGACGGAAATATCCAGAGTGTATATGGATCTCTAATTGTCACCGTTTGTCCTGATGACAAACGCTCTACTGGAGGCTATCTCGTTTATCTTGGTCGCAACCTAGTTGCTTGGAGTTCTAAGAAGCAAGCCACCATTGCTTGCTCCAGCACGAGTCTGAATTTCAAGCTTGTGCAAATGTTGCAACTAAGCTTCTTTGGATACGTCCTTATTACTTGATCTAAAACAACCTCTTGCACGAATTCCTATGTTTTGGTGTGACAACATCAGTGCCACGTATCTTGCCGTGAACCCAGTTTTCCATTTTCGTACCAGACATATTGAAGTTGATTTCCATTTCTTGCGAGATCTTGTTCTCAAACGATCTCTCTCTATTCAATTTATTTCCTCGGCTGATCAAGTGGTAGATCTACTTACTAAACCACTCAGTGGAGCTCAATTTACTTTTCTTAGATCCAAGCTTCATCTCCTTCTTGGACATTTCACTTGAGGGGGCGTATTAGGGACATGACATGTGATAGACTTTATGTTGTAGTCCATCGCACGACCCTTACGTGCGATGAACTTCTATCATGCTAGAACTTCTACTTAAAGTCTAACCGCTTCCTTATCTTAATAGACTCTATCTGATAGAGTTATATTGTAACTCAAACTAATCTCTTAACTTCGAGTGTTGTACACAAACTCTAACAATTGTATTGTACTCAAACTTTATCTGGTCATCTATAAATAGATCAAGTTTCGATCAAATCTATCATCGAACCATTCACCAATTGATCTTGAACTTTTCTCTAGAATTCCTTTTTTCTTAACTGCAATCACCCATATGAGGAAGTGAATATGACTATCATGGAGGTGAAGGGTGGTCACTGGATGTCTGGTCTTATCATCCAAGGAAAAGAGATTAGGCCTAAATAGAGTAAATAAATAATATAGGCATTTCTTTTGCTCTACTCTGGATATACTATATACCTTTTCATTTCAATGAATGTTACATATGGGAATTGAACAAGTACTTTTTTTGACAAAATCAATGTAAAATTCAGCTATATCATCTATTCTTTATCCATTTGTTCTCTATGGATTCAAAAATTTCATCAAAGATGGAACCAATTAGATTGCAAGCCTGAAATCCATTATATTGTTGGTCAGCTTCACATCATTAGACTACAATTAAATAACATTGGAAATGTTTGATTAAAAAGATCGGATGTCATAAATCATTATTACTTCTTTTTTATTTTTTTTTTCTTTTTAATTTTCAAGAGCCTCCTCCAAAGTCTTACTTGTTCCAAGCAAAAATGAATCGGTTCACCGATTCTTGGTCCTTGCCTCATTTCAACAAGAATAAGATATAGGTGATTAAAAATATCAATCATTTCATTAAAGGATTCTACAACTTTTAACGAATTTGTTTGAAATGGACAATTGCCAACCAAAATTATGAAACATTGTTATAATTAATTGTTCTTTTCGTTGTTGCTTATTCTGAAATTCTCTCTCCCAAAATGAGCAATTTGATATGGTTATATATCTTGTAATTTCTAATCAATTTACTTGGTTTCATTCCTAACCAGCACTTGGTATTCTATGAGCTCAAACTAGGAGAGAGATTGGAGATCATTTTGGCACTAGCAGAATTAGTCTTTTAGGGCACAAAGACAAAAACATAGTTTGCAATACTGAGTTTTCTGTGGTTATTTTCCTTTTAAGACACTTCCTTTTTTTTAATCTTGTCTTCCCATGCCAAAGAATCCAATAAATCGACTAGTTACAACAAAGAACGTTGGTTTTGATTAGGGTGTAACGGGAAACTTAGCATAACTCAATCTTGGTCAAAGTTTATTTTCCTTTTTTTATTTATGAACAAACAAAAACCATTAAGCAGTAGAAGGTACTAATAGAGAGTGAAATATTTTCACCATTAGAGGCATGGTTAGAGCTACTTAAATGAGTAGCTCTATTACAATCTGATGAGGGCAGATTTGGCCCTCCATTGACATCATGACACGTGGCATATCAGAACAGCTGGACTACATCCCACCTAGGTGATAACATGCCTTAGCAAAAATGGGGTCTCAGTTGGCGGCCTGCCGCTGTCGCCGACCTGGCGACCTACTTCTGCTACCGACCTGGCGACCTGCCTCTACCGCCGACCTACAACCTACTTCTATTGCCGACCTGGTGACCTGCCTCTGCCATCAACCTAGAGACCTACTTCTGCCACCGACCTCGCGACCTACTCCTGTCACCGACCTGGTGACCAACCTCTGTTGCCAACCTGGCGACCTACCTCTCTAGAAGCTTGCTAGTTGTCTCTAAACCTTTCGGGATTACGCTGTGTAACCGTAGGCCTTATCCTCATCTCACCCGAATCGGAGGGAAATGGTAAGCCTTACTAACTAGCATGTTATCCTCCTTCCAAAACGGAATGGGCCCCTACGTCGTGGGCTAAGGATTCCGAGAGCGTTTCGCGAGACCCACGGTAGCCCAGCTATATAAGGGCATGAACCCCTAAGACCTAGGTAGATGTGCAATTTAGTTCTCATAGCTTTCCAGCTTTCTCACATTTAGCTATCTTAAAAATCTCTGATTTGCCGACTTAAGCATCGGAGTGCCCACCCTAGGTAAAGCAACCTAGGCACTCTAACACTGTTTCCTTGTAGGTCACATTAGAACCACCTCTCTAGCTCGTCACCACTCAATTAGGCCTCAGAGTCACCTCTCCAACTCGTCACCACTCAGTTAGGCATCAGAGCCACCTCTCTATCTTGTCACCATTCAGCTAGGCATCAGAGCCACCTCTCTAACTCGTCACCATTTAGTTAGGCATCAGAACCACATCTCCAGCTCGTCACCATTCAGCTAGGCATCAGAGCTACCTCTCCATCTCGTCACCATTCAGTTAGGCGTCCAAGCCACCTTCCAGGTGGGAACCATTCAGCTAAGCGTCCAAGCCACATTCCAGGTAGGGATTATTCAACCAGGCATCCGATTCACTTGGCTGAATAATCCCTACATGGAATGTGGCTTGGACGCCTAACTGAATGATTCCTACCTAGAAGGTGGCTTGGACACCTAGCTGAATGGCGACGAACTGGAGAGGTGGCTCTGATGCGTAATTGAGTGGTGACAAGCTGGAAAGGTGGCTCTAATGCAACCTACAAGGAAACAGTGTCAGAGTGCCTGGGTTGCTTTACCCGGGGTGGGCACTCCAATGCTTAAGTCAGCGTATCGGAGATTTTTAAGATAGCTAAATGTGAGAGAACTGGAGAGCTACGAAAACTAAACCGCGCATCTACCTAGGTCTCAGGGGTTGATGCCGTGGGTCTCGCGAAACGCCCCCAAAATCCTTGACCTACGACATAGGGGTCTGTTCCGCTTTGGAAGGAGGATAACGTGCCAGTTAATAAGGCTTACTATTTTCCTCCAATTCGGGTGGGATGAGGATAAGGCCTACAGTTACATGGTGTGATCCTGGAAGGTTCGGAGATGACTAGCAAGCTTCTAGAGCGGTAGGTCGCCAGGTTGGTGATAGAGGTAGGTTGCTAGGTCGGCGGCAAGGGTAGGTCACCAGGTCAGTGACAGAAGTAGGTTGCCAAGTCGGAGGCAAAGGCAGGTTGCCAAGACGGCAGCAGAAGTAGGTCGCCAGGTCGGCAGTAGAGGCAGGTCACCAGTTGGGACCCAATTCCGGCTAAGGCAAGTTGTCACCTAGGTGATGCTGGGATGTAGTCCAGTTGTTCTGATATGCCATGTGTCATGATGTCAGTGGAGGGCCAAATCTGCCCTCATCAATTCCCTCCACTCCCGAGCTGAGATTAGCTCAGCGAAGGGAGTAGATTTGTGCTTCGTTGTAAGTCCTTTGGCCTGTTACCAACATATTTCGAGGTCGGCTTAGGGGTCCTTGATGCTGAAAGCGGTTTGGCTTCCCCTTGTGATATGTGTGTCGATGTTGGAATTTAAATAGTGGGTCGGTGTCACGGCTGCACTGTGTCAGTCCTCTAAGGTGTTGATCGTTTACTCTATGATAAGCTACAAGGAGCTCAACTTGCGAGGGCAACTTTACTAACTGTAGGTTGCTAGCTTGCATGAGAACCTTGAAAGGCTCAACCCGCAAGGGCAACTGCAGTCCATTGGCTGCTGACTCCCGCGGGAGCCATGGAGGGCTTGACCTATAGGGGCGACCTCGCGAACAAGGTTGACAAGGCTCATCCGGGCTGATTATGAGTGTCGCCAGGTCGGCGGAGGTAGGTTACCATCTTGGCGACATAGGCAGATTGCTAGGTCAGTGGAAGTAGGTTGCCAAGTCGGTGGAAGTAGATCGCCAGATCGGTGGGGGCAGCTCGCTAGGTCGGAGGCAGGTCTCCAGGTCTCCAGGTCGGCGGAATTTTGACAGTCCAGTCTGTCACAACCATACTTTATCACAATCCCTACTAATATTGAAAGACATACACAACCATATTTTATCTAGAATGCCCTAAAATCCCTAACAAATATAGTCAAATCTGATCCATTAATAACTAACTCTCACATTTCTATAACCTTCTAAATTTTCTTTTTGGCAAAAAAGTTTATCATTATTCATAAGAGAAGATAATGGGGAAACAAAGCCTCATAAGAGGCACAAAAGAAAGGGTGAAGCCATAACTGATTCAATCCAATGTAAACAAAATCAAGCGGTCCACTATTTCTGCTTCTTGCACTGCACACCAGAAGGAATATCCACTTGAGCTCTTGCAATACAAACTAGAAGTAATTTGAGAGAGAGAAAAAGAGAGCAACAGACATCTTGAAACAAATGTCGCTTGTAGCGGTTGCAGTAGAGGAACAATTGGTAGCAGTGGTGGAACTAGATATGAGAGAGGAGGAAGAAGGAAGAAGGAAAGAGAGAGAGAGAGAGAGAGAGAGAGAGAGAGAGAGAGTAAGGGAGATGGGTTAGAGATGAAGGAATAAATGTGTTAGAGAATATCAACTGATGGTGCGCGATTTGGTTGCTCCTAGCTGGAAGGCAGCTTGGACATTGGTTGCTTAGCTGGCCGATCGAATTGCAAGGAAAGTAAGGCTCAAAGGACTCAGGGTGGCTTACCTAGTGTGGGCAATCCGATGCTTAAGTTAGTACTCTTCTTGAGTGAGCTAGATGAATGCTAGAAGGCTAGTAAGCAATAAATCGCATGTACCTTGTGATGTTGAATGTGAGGCCTATATATAGGCGTTGTTTGGAGTGGGCTTCATGCATCTCATCCGAGATATCCGGGAGGTTGTGCCTAACCGGTTCGAAGTCCTCAGAGGTAGTTGTGCACATAGACCAGTCTTTGCGCCTTGTTTGGTTTCCTCTGAAACATTCGGTGCAGGGGCCAACTTTCAAGAAACCTAGGAGTGACGGGATATGCATGCAGAATTGGTCGGCGAGCATGTCTCGTAGGTCACCACCTGGACCTCAATCAGGTTGGCAAGCCCTCGAAGGAGGTCACTCCTCACGTTGAGGTCACTTTGGCTGGTGACGAGATGCCACAAGTCGGCCCTAGACGAGGTGCTTCTAGCCGCCCTAAGTTGTGGATGAGGTCGCCAGCCCGATTTCCACCACGTCGGTAGAGGCGGGTAGCTAGGTCAGCAGCAAAGGCAGATTGCCAAGTGGGACTCCATCACTTTGGCTATGACAAATCATCACATAGGTGTTGTCTGGGTGTCATCCAGCTATTCCAAGATATCATGTGTCACGTTGTCGCTGAAAGGCCAAATCTGCCCTCATCATCAACCTATCCAAGTACCTCATCTATGGGCTTAAGCTTTTAGGTTGAATGGTTGTTTGAGAAAATGAAAGGGTTGGAGAGTTTAAGCGGGATATCAAAATATCAAAGGCATTTGATATTTTTTTTGAGTATAGAGACTAACGTTAAGTCCCAACTCCGTTAAGTATTGGCATAGGGACGTGTTCGATTCTCATTCGTTAGGACAGAAAAAATTCTGTCCCTACGTACGGGACAGACGATGTGAGCCTCAAACCTCCCAAGCTGATTTCCCAATATATTCAATAATGTGGCATGTCAAGTTAACACAACCGGTCCTTGATAAAGGATAGAGAGAGAGAGAAAGAGAGAGCAAAAGTGTACAAGTGTACAACATGATAGTTCTCATTCAACCATTGAAGCTATAATAAGATAATATGGATTAAGTAGTAGAGATGTATTAGCACTCTAAGGAGCAATTGAGCAAACACACTAGTGAGCGAGGTAGACGCTGAACTGAAGCACGGTTTCGACGCCATCGGTCGTGTGTTGATCGGACGGATGAATGGTCTGAATCGTGGCGTATCCTTGTGCATTCTCATATTTTCCGGTGCCTCCAACTATAGCAATCTGAGACTCTGGGGCTGCTGTTCGGTGGACACCGAACAAGCTAATGCTATCATCCTCATGATCACCACCATGGAACAGTGCCGTGAGCACCATTGTCTGGCTGCTCCCATCTAACGAGCTGGCCAAGTAGAACCCCTGCGCCTTCCCAACCACGGAAGACCCCAGCTCATGTCCTTCAGTTAGTTCATCGTCGACCACGGTGATTGTCCCGAACATGAGCTTCTGAAGAGTTGCTCCGGCTGGTAGCTGGCCGGCAGCGACAAAAGGAAGGTTGTTGCCGCCATTGACCACGTTGTTGTTACCGTTGTTCTGAACAATGGTGCTGCTGGTGGTTGTGCCGCCAAGGCCAGCAAGGAATGGAAAGTTATTGTTGTTGATGACGCCATTGTTACCGTTAAAGAGTGGAACTCCTCCGTTCACGGGGAAGACACCACTATTCGGTCTGGAGAAAGGGATACCGTTCACACTGGTGGATGCAACGATCCCGGTCACCACCCTCGCCGACGGTGCTGTCCCGCCTAGGATATCGTGCATGAAGAAGGACAATGGGGGGTCTGCGTCAGGGTGTGTTACGGTGACACTACTAGTGGTAACTCCTACCCCAGCCGGTCCATTACTTGGTTGCGTGATCGCCGGAGCCGCCTCCGGGGCCATGTCAGGGACCGGTGTTACTGCAGGAGGTACCGCATCAGGAACAGGTGCTGTCACAGGATTGGATGCCTCTGGTGCAGTCGCAGGAGCCGGTGGTGCTACGTCCTCCTTCATGAGGGTCCTAGCTGAGTTGGCACATCCGACCGTGATAGCTATCAAGAGGACGTAGATCGTTGTCTTAAGTGTTGCAGAAGCAAGTGAGAGATGTTTTGCCATCGGGAGTTGGCTGGTTTGGGGAAGGAAGCTGAGGAGTTATATATATATAGTGGCGAGAGTTGGTTGCAGTCAACAGTGGAGCTGATAAGATGGAGTAGTTGTTCAGTAAATTTGGTTTCTTCTCAAGTTATCCGTGTTTGGTTGTAAACCGAAACCCTATTTGCTATATATTTGTCTGTAAGTAGATTAAGTGGAGCAGACGTGGACTTCGAAGTTGGGTTCCAATTACCAAACAAGGCATACGCATGCATGTAAGGAAAATGATTTACAGGCTCTTCAACAACTTTTAATTTAGCATCTGGGGCTCGGTTGGAATCTAAGTGTTGGTTGGGCTTTATAGAGAAAAGGGCGAGGTGTTGTAGATGCCAGAAGGAGATGCTATTATTTTGATTTTCTTTTTTTGTTGATGGATTGTATTTTGAATTTAAGACACTAGCAGAAGGGCCCCTGCGAACAAAATCATTGATTAATAACATAAGAATATTAAAAAGAAAGTGTGTTTGGTAATATAATATATATATATATATATATGATAAAAATAATTGAAAAAATATTTATATTTTTTATTTTTCTTTACTTAAACTGTCACATTTTCTTTTTCACTTAATAATATATTAACTTTTTTAAAAATTAAATATGATTGGATCAGATTCAAATATCTGACATCTTTATCGGATTCAAATTCGAATCAATATTTCGATCAGATCGGGTATCTCCATTTTGGGTTTTTAGATCAGATATATAAAGAACGAATTAGTCTTGATGAAGAAGAAAAAGAAACAGTCTAAAATAAGGCTGAAACATTAATCATAGTGCAATTGGTTATTGAATTAAAATTAGTGCCATGGGTACAATAAAACCCAATCCACCGAAAATATCTTATACAAATTAGCACCGAAAGAAGAATTCTACAAGCTTGACTAAAACAGGAGTTATAACAACACAAACAAATTTAAGCACGAGTTTCTTCAACAGAAAATGAATTTTTGAGGAAAAAAGACTTGTAATTTTCCACTAGTCCCTGAATTCCTCAACAGGCATTCAACTTTGTTGATCAAAGTTTGAAGGTAGCATTGTTTGGAAAGCCCTCAACAAGTCATGCAGCATATATTGAATTAAAAACTTGTAATCATTTTGAACAAAAATGACATTGCAACAACTAAATATTGGTTAAGATAAGATACCTTCATTCAATTCAACCCAAGCCAATTAAGATTTTGATTTCGTCCTGGAATGAGGATATTGCAACTTAAGTGGTCTTCATAAAAATTCGAGCTAATTTCAAATCATCTGTGGGACCAAATTAATATCCCTTCTCTCAACTACAAGTAAACCTAAAAAGAAGCATCCTGTTGACTTGTAGGAGACTACGAGGTCAACAGGTGACAAGTTAGGTGCTTATACCAGAGGCATCATTTCCCCAATTACAGAGCCATTATCTCAAACTACCTTCTATGCAATGAAATAATAAAAATTGTAAAGGTTAATCATCATCTTCATCGGCTTCCCCATTCTCATCTTCATCGGCTAATTTCAAATCATCTGTACATGCCAATCATTTCTATTACTTTTAGGACCAATGCCTTTTGCAGTAGAAGTAGATGCAGCCATTCTTCTAACCTCCCTGGAATGTAGCTGGTCAATGTACTTCTCATGCAAGGACAAGCCCTTAACTTGCTTTGGAATTGGTGGACGAACAAGAACTGTTTGACATGAACTTCTTAATCTTGATAGCGACTTCCTATGGGCTGATGATGATCTACTATGACAGTTCTGAAGAAAATCAGAACTTTTTCTCTATACATTCAGGGGTGGAGACTACATCATGTTGAAAAGCTTGACAAGAAGAACTCATGGGGGCTCTCAAAAACCGAGAACAAATCTGCTTTACAACTTTGGTCTATCAAATAGTGCTTACTAAATGTTTCACAGTTTTCTGTGCATGGTGCTTCTTCTACTTGCTTTTCCTTCTTTTAACACTGAGTGCAGTGATTCCAGAAGTTTACTTCCAGAAGAATGAGAAATGGGCCATTCATAGTAATTGATTCTATGGAAATGTAACATTTAGAATGGAGAATTAAAGAATCATCACATGATATTACCAGTTAACATCTAAAATGATGAAATCTAACTTCTGAGGAAAAAGAAATAAACAATGATGTTCACAGTAGCATCTAACATAAAAGAATACTGCACGATGATTAAGCCTCATGAGATTTCATTGTTTTAAGAAAAATTATGTGAATTAAGAAACATAGAACCATGTAACAAGGAACTACAATTTTATGTAAAGATGAATAGGTGAATTTCTCATCATACAAACAAGAAAAAAAGGTGATAAGAAATGTTTAAGAAAATTAAAGGGAAAAAACACAAGTGATCAAAGGAACAAATGATTTGCATGTAAACCTTTAAGACCAACAGTGAACAGCACAAGATCCGCACTGCTTCAAGAATTCTTTCTGGTTGCAATCAAGTTCATGAGGCATGGTGAGATTGGATTATGCCTATCCAATTGTGTTTACATGCTTCTCTTGGTTAGCTTCAGTTTTTCTAGGTTGTTTAATGTTTCATGCCGACTGATTTTCTTCTCCAGCCATCCCTTTCATAGTTGGTTGTTTCTTGACCAAAGGCTCCTCTCACACCATATGCTAGCTATTTCTCTATCTCAAACATGGACAATTATAATATGGTGTCTGAGTCTAATTTTGTTACAAATAAAGAAAATGCCAGCCATGCCATTCATTGCCCCATCTGGTCTTGTTGTGAAACCAACAGTGGGAACTTGACAATATTTGGTCACACCTTGGGTTAAAAGTTTACATTCAATAGCTTATAGGTTTTGTATTCTGCTCTTATTACTTACCTTTCTAGATGTCCTAACGTTGGAAGTAGGAAGAAATGGTAGTGTTAGGGGCTTGAGAATGGATATGTTGATACAAAAGAAAGAAATAATATGTCCAGTGTCATTACTGCCAATCAACAAGTCATATATTAAATCTGACGATATAAAATAAATAAATAAAAGAACAATTAGGGCACCGGGAGATGCTAGAGAACCTGCCAAGGTAGGAATATGAACCTAAGAAACCACATCCTAAATGTACTTTGTACTCAAACCAAACAAAGCAATAAGATTAGGGAGGCACCCATGCGTGTTTTACATAGCATATACACAAAAAAGACAAAAGTCAACTGGGCTCATGATTAATAATTTGACCTCACTTATTACCATAAATTCAGAAATGAGGAGACCACTAAACTCTCTTTGAAGGGATGAGAGATCCATCGTATGGATGGCCGAACCCTACAGGAAGGTTGGGCGAAATTTCAAAAATTTCTCTCTCTCCCATCTGTGAATCATATTCCCTATTTTAGAAAACTGCATTTTCAAATATCAATCTTGAATCAAACCGGACTAGATCTGAAACTAAAAGGGAGGAGAGGGATATATACCTGATACGGAGTAGCAGTAACTCCCAATGAAGGTGTTCACGCCCAAGGATAAATCTAAAATCTGCTTCCACTGAAAATGACACAGTGTGAGGTGAAACAGGATCAGCAAAACGGCTCTTCAGTAAGAACCAATTCTTCAGCAAGAATGGGATAGAAGGCTGGTGAGCACGACTTCAAATTGCCTCTTCTACCAAGAATCAAAGTCAAGAACAATTCTTGATCACTCCCACAAGTGGAGATTGAACTGGGTAGGGGCGGTAAGAACAGGGGAGAAGTCTACAAACTGTTGTAATGTCTGTTGTGTATTTTGCACTAATCCAAATCTTTATTTGGATATGGACTCTTTAATTGATAAGGACAATCCCTTATCTTATCTGCAGTTTAAGATCAGATTGATTCTAATCAAATTAGGAGTTTCCTGATCCAAATCTTTATTTGGATCTGGACTCTTTAAGTGGATAAGACTTATCCTCTTATCCTTATATGCTAATCCAAACCCAGATTTGCCCCTATTTAATTAATCTAATTAACCCAGTTCGAATTGGGCTTTAGGCCCACTAAGTTTATATGCTCACTTAACCTCTTAACCTACTGCCAGTTGGCTCTCCATGTATGGCATGAGACCCAAACATTGATATACACATCAGCCACATGGGTTCAGCCCAGCCTTTGTTACAAGGCCTGGCCAAATTCAATGTAGGAGACAGTGAACCCCTGAGTCCATCGCCATGGGCTCTTAATGGGCCCAACATTTACACTAAATGGTCCTTGGGTCCAGCCACCTTATGAAAACCCAATGACAATGGGCAGATGCAAGATTAGCTCAACAGGTATTACCCTCATCTTACACTTAACCTCTCAGCCCATAATGATCAAACACTACCCAACAAGAGAGGACCTCTCCCTCGACTACAAGGAACAGTGTTGCACTCTCTAATCAAATGGATCCCGGGAATTAAAACCTTGTGCAAACATTTTGAAACCATAATATATATGTATATCTTTATATAAATATATTTTGCAAAAACAAATTTCAACGATTAAAATCAACTGTTGGCAGTTTTAGGTTTCCATCGGAGAGAGTGCATCCCCGATCATTCACTTTGTCCGACAAAGGGGCTAACTATCACTATGATCACCCACTCAGATGAATTCTCAGACTGTCCCAAAATACCTAGGTTTTGACCCCCTCTAAGGATCTCTCTGATTGGCAAATCAAAAACAACCCAATCTGACACCCAGTGCAGTACCATAATTAAGTCTATGGGTCAGGTGTAACATTCCAGTTTTGCCCATCTATTTCCAAGGTCCAAGGCAATACTGGAATTTCGATTTGGTTTAGGGTTTCAAGAAAACCCACACTGCATGTACCTTAGGTCTCACCCTAGCAGTTGAGACAAGCCACCCCAACCAACTTGGTTGTACATCAGTGTCAGCCTTGGCAGGATAAATCTCCCCAGATCTATCCAACGACTGTGAAAATTCTAAACTAACACGAGTCTCATTAGGTGTCCAGTTTAAGGGTATTACACAAAAAACACACC